AACACCCTTGAAGGTTGGTTGGGGTAAGTAGGCTAAGTAGATACAAGAAGGTGTTGATCATTGTTACCAGTGGCCATCACCGATTTGTAATGCCCGATTCTACTTGCGGTTTTCAATATCGACGTCCACCATCTCAGCTATGGTTCACGCTTTTGCAGCCGGAGCGACGCAACTGAAAATAGCGAGCAGAATCTCGCCGTGCGAGTCAGGCTTTAGCGCCCATTCTGCGGCGTCCACGTGAAATGAATCGCCGCAAATCACATTATTCACGCAAAGTTTTGCCTCGTTAATTTTGCTGAAGCCGCTCAAGTAGTCAGACATTGTTAGGAGGACGTAGAATCAACAATTCCAACGCGAGAAAGAACACGGGGGCTCCCATTGACGCCGAAAACAACGCAATTCAATGGTTCGTTTATGGGCGACGGCGGGCTTCTTGCACACCGTCCACCGCGCATGCGCGGCGCCGGTGGCGTCCGCTAGGAGCGCTCCGGTTTGTTTGTAAACATGAGTTGAATCAGACATTCCCGCATCGGAAACAACTGAAACCCGTGAAACCTTTGCCACCTTTGAAACCTTTGCCACATGATCACGCTCCTGCCGTTACCCGCGCCCAGACAGCGGACTCAAGGGATAAAAAAATCCTCCGGTTTATTGTTAAGGTCCGACGACTGCGTAGCCTCTTCCACGCTTTCAGCTTAGGGAGAGAAAGAAAAGAGAGGAGTATACGAAAATAGCAGCTCCTTCAAGGCCAAAAGTGGCTGCCCTCGCGAAGGCTTATCCTCAGGGTTATCCCAACAATGAACACAGCTAGAGGATTTGTCCCCTATATCCTCTTGAAAGTTCGACCCAAAGTTAATAGTGCCGTGGCCTTGGCCTTCAGGTAGGTGCCGTGCCCTGCCTTATCTCTAGCTTGGAGACTGTAGTCACGTGATCCTATCCGGAGACCCGATTGGCCTAAAACAAGCATACTCTACTGTCAATACCGACTGAACAAAACAGTTCCATACTTCCTAAGAAACTGCCCAACCCAAAAGTGACCCCCAAGAGGGCATCCAAGCACACGCTGGTCGGGGCGCGTGGCTAGCGTGGCGGTGCACTGATACACCTAGAGGTTTTTAAGGGAGAGGAGGATGCTCATTGTCGGTGCACAAATACAGTGGCTGGGCAACGGAGGATGCATCTTTGAGGAAAAAGGTGCATGTGCTGCTGATACACCCGACTACACCCGTTTTTTCTTAGAGTACGGGGTGAAAAAATTACATGGTGTCATTGGATTCCTAAAGAATGCGTTATTATGACCCTTGGAAACGCCACACACGTCCCCTTTGGGAAAGACTAACACTGACCCCGTAACAAGGCAAAACACAGGCAGCACAAAAATAAATAAACAAAGGAAGCAAACGAGAAAAGCGTATGGGTTAGCGTTTTCCAAAGAGGGACGCGTGTGGCGTTTCCAGGGGTCATGCCAACACATTCCCTAAAAATCCACCAGTGGATCGTCTTGCAACCAATTTATACTTTTTTTTTTTGTGGGCTGAGTAATACTTTGCTTTTCTGTCAGGAGAACGCGCGAGAGGGAACTTACTGCGGACTCCTTTTAGAAAAGCAGCGTTCGAGGAAGATTTGGGTGGGGGCGGGAAAAAAAGGAAACCGAAGGAAACAAACTGGTAGCCGCGCGGTAGAGCGAGGCGATCTATTTGGGTTGACCTTGCCTCGGAGAACTCGGGATATGTAGTCTTCCAGGCTTCAAATTTTACAAAACGAAAAAAAAATAAACAATCAAGCATAGCGTCCGCGAAGCCAAGCTCATATGCACGCCAAAACCTCCAAACAGAAAAGGCATACATTCGCAGTGCACGCTTAGAACGAAAACCACTTTGTACGTTATCTAACAAAAGTTAAAAAAAAAAAGTCCAATACACTAAAGGGCGATTCCCACACTTGCGTCGAGTCCGACTGAGGGCGCGGGTTGCTATAGCAACAACTGCATCGGCTCCAGCAAAACCGGTGTTTACCCCGTTTTGTTTTACCCGACGCAGCTGTTTTCTATTAGCCCCGAGAGCGAACACAAGCGTCGCTGCGGTCGCCACGCCCTGATTGGGTGAGGTGTACCGTGACGTCGGGGGGAGGACTCCGCTCCGCGATCTCGCACCGGCTCGCAACCCAGCACCGGTTTCCTGGTTTGGCGTTGTGTGCCGCAAGCTCTTCGAGGAGCTGGACTTCGTTTACCCGGTGTTCAAGACGTTGAGTTAGGCCGATACTGACGTGCTTCCGTACATTTTATAAGCCTGCTCGTCCCTTTTACCTTTAAAATTGAGTTACAAATCCCGAAAGCTATCGGCGGAGGCGATTCCGCCAATGAGCCTCCCCGTCCGCCCACACGACACAAGGCAATCTTGCAAGGGGTCGGTGAAGCGGTGGCGCAAGTGTTTCAGACGCTGGAAATCTGTTCCTTGCATGTTCATGATTTAGGACGATATTCCATCCCGCTTTCAAGGCATTTGAAGTGGCATTTATATCATGGGCCTTTGGATGGTCGGCAAATGAGCTCGCGACCCCGACTCTGCGCTGCCACTCTGCATGCGCTGGTTCGCAGATGTTTTAAAGGCCCTGCCTCTGATGATCTTTGAAGTGCTCGTGGAACAGGGTTACTTTATATAAATGTAGCTTTTTCGTGAATTATTTATATAGTTTATACACGTAGGCAGGCATATTTCTTAGAAGATGCACAATTACTGGAAATTAGTTTGTATGGTAGCAGCAAAAACGGCCAAATTGCCCCCAGTTGCCTGTATGATATGTATTGAACTGCCCAAATATACACAGCAATAGTGCCGTAATTTGGAATGTTTATAATTTTTTCTAACATTCTTTATTCCAGCCTTGGGTATTCGGAAAATACACCGCTTAGTCTGAATTCTCATTTCCAGTTAAAAGAGACACTGCTGCAGGTCCCTAAAAGCTTCCTTAGCCTTCAAACTCCCTGCAGCTGGACTCTCTGACAACAGAGGAAAACAGGAGGAAGAGCAAACATTCGAACGACTGTCCAGTGGTAGATGCAGCACTAGAAGCAGAAAATGTGGAACCTGTGAAGGGCGACAGTCTGCGTGAGAAACGCTTCCGGTATTTTAGCTTCAGGACAATTTGATTTAAGTAAAATCTCAATTTTAGGGCTTAAGGGACTAATAACAAGCTAGACACTTTCGCTTACGTTTGTTATACTTGAGGGTTGATATAAACAAGTCCACAGATACCACCCGTGTAGTCCATGGAAATACTATCCGAATCCAGCAAAGGTCAAATGCGAGCAATGTATATAGTCAATGCTTCTTTTTTTTTTTTTTTTACAATGCCCCTGCACTTGGGCTGTCTTACTTGTGATTCTCTCCCCATGGCCCAGACTATTTAACATGTTGCTCGAGCAGCATGCAGCTTTTATGCTTCGACTGTCTTGTTTAAAAACAGAGATACAAAAGAAATAGTATACATAACCTGCCAATTCATTCAGACCATCAGCAGCCTTTATTGTGTGAGATGTAAATCTATAGTGATGCTCCTGCAATTGGGGCCATATTTCTTTATTTCCATATACCAGCTGTGATTCATGCGTTGCCTGCCCCGTCAACCATGCTCAAAATGTTGGTTGAAGTTTCGCCTGTAGCTTCAGGCCATACCTCAATATAAAAACACATATAAAAATTTACACTTCCTACAAAAAACACGCACGAAAAAGTTAAATAGAAACGAGCGCGCCGACAGATAGCGTCGTCACAGCCTCCACAGGGCGAGCGAGGCGAGTCGGGGAAAAATTCTCTCCTCGCCGTGACGTCACCCCGGTTCGCCGTAAGGGGGCGCCACGCGAATTTCTCGGGGCTAATAGCAACCCTCCCACTCTGTTGGACCCAATGCAAGTGTGTGAATCGCCCCTAAAAGGGCAGTGAGAGGTCAAAATTATATTTTCTTTTTATTATTCGAAACGATTTAAAACGATGAATGACATTACCCTCAAAATTTGAAACTTGGAAACTCAATATGTCTGTAATAAAAAAAAAAATTTTAAAAGCCGAATTTAAAGTTCCTGCACGATCCCCGCCAGTGCAGTCACGTCAACGATTTAGTTCGTCCTGTAACTCGACTTTCTCTCGCGCCTCCCTGTCGTGTTCTCCCGCGTCCCGCGATCAACCGCTTCGTGCGGGCCGCCTATCGCTGTGAGCAGACGACACTGCACTTTCCAGTTTGAAGTTTTTTCAGGGCTCTTTCAGCTATCTCGAATTCTTTGGGACGGTGTGAGGCAGAAGAGAATGCGCAGTGGACTTTTGTGAGCGACGTTAGGGGCTACGTCACGCCGCTTCTGCGTGAAGGACTGCCCCGGCCACAACCGAAACTACAGTACACAGACACCAAAACCCAGTTGACGATTTCTTTTTCGAAGTCTGAGAAGGGATCGGGCACCAGAAAAAAAGAACTCTGTCCGATTCCCCAACTTCCCGATCATCCTCAGTGTTACATGCGTCGAGCGCTGCCACGTTATCCCAGGGAGGATAAGAAGCAAGGGGCGACATCACTCCGGACTCCGATTATCGATATTTCAAAAAGAAGGGCCGTAGTACGTTCCCAATTGCGTTAATAAACATGTTTTACGAATGCCGTCATCAAACATGATTGAAATGTCCCTCACAAAGCTTCTGAATGTCATATTCGATTACGTCACAAATAAAAAAAAAAAAGTGAGGAGGTGAGGAGCGGGAGAGAAAAAAACACAAAAATAAAAAGTCGCGCGCGCGCTTGGTAATTTTCATTTCCCGCGTTCTGGTATTTTTTTGCGTGTCTATGACTACAACTTGAATCGTTTTTAACATAACAAATACGATTTTTGGGGTGCCCCTTTAAGGCACGCAAGAGGAGAACCTTCAGGCAAGGTTTTTATTAGGTTAACGGAAATTCGTTTATGGATAGAATTCTTTCCATAAAGAAAGTTACTATGAAAGTAATTAAACGCATTTTCACAGCAGTTATTAATTCATTTAATCATTTTGGGATTGAGTACTTTCTACTCTATTCAAGTTCCTTTGACGCTGATTCTCATTAAACCTAAATATTTCTCTTGATTACCTTTTACAGGCCTCACGCAGCACTTTGTTATGGGCGCCCCCCCCCCCTCTCCTCTCCTCTCCCCCCCCCCCCCCCCCCCCCCCCGACACAAAATCCTGGCTACGTGCCTGCCTACAGCGCTACGATTTTGTGCAGCACTGCCCACAGATGGTGCATTTTTTTTCGTGTAAAATTCGCAAAGAGCGAACTTACCTGAGGAAAAATTAAAGAAAGAGAAAGGCTTAGCTCATATGGAAACGCAGCGAAGCCACCAGTTTTCAAACAATAGGGCCCTCTATTGTTTGAATACCGGTGGCTCCGCTGCATTTCCATAGAAGTTAAGCCTTTTTCTTTCTTTTTTTAACTTTTTTCTAAGATAATTTCACTCTTCGCAAATTAAAAAAAAAAGCACCATCTGTGTACAACGCTGCACAAAGTCGTAGCGCGATAGGTTAAGAAACCGAATTTTGCGGTCGATTTAAAGAGCCTGGCGTCTCCTTGAGACACCCGGTAGAGAGCGACCTGCAGCAGAACAGGCGTCGGCCACATTCACTTCTGCTGCTGGGACACCGCCGCCAGGATAGCGACCGGTGACAGCATGACACTTCAATGTCGTCATCTGGCGGAAATTGAGGGACCAGTTTTTTGGACGCGCTAAACACACCAGTCGGAGACGCGTTCCAGGCCCCATGCTAAAACGCTTTGATACCTTGTTTCACCATAAGTCGGAGCACAGCTGGCGGCACAAGCTCATAAAACCAGCCAAGCAGCTCCAAAAGTCAATCGTAAAATCGTTTGTCTTCTTTCTGGGCATGCATTATTCTTGGTTAAAACAATACAGATTAGTAAATAAACCGTATCCTTGCGCTTTTAGTCTGTGCGTCTCCGTTGGTCTGTCTTCTTGTCTTTGGCTGCGGCTGCGCTTTGAATTATGGCGAAACGGAGTGCAAACTTACTACTTTTTTATCTGTACTTAAACCTGAGTTTGATACCCTGAGCGGGATTCAGTACAACAGATGGCACAACAAGCTTCACAGGATCTTCCGTCTCGATGCATGGGACGATCCGGTACTTTGCAAGAATCTTGCAGACGGCAATCTTGAGCTCCAGCAGCGCAAATCTTCTTCCGATGCATTCCCTGGGTCCCATCCCGAAGGGTAAGTACGCCGCCGGGTGATGAAGGTGCTTGGCTTCGCCCTCACCGAACCTCTCCGGGTTGAACTGGGAAGGTTCGGGCCACAGTTCTGGGTCATGATGAATGTTCCAGGTGGGAACAAGCACGTTAACTCCAGCAGGAAAGAACTCTCCCATTAATGTTATGTCCTGGGTGCAAACCCTCGTGGTGAAAAGAACGAGCGGGGGGTACATGCGTAGGCACTCGCTGATGACCATATCCAGGCGCTTCAGCTCCTGAATGTCCTCGTAGGCGAGCTCCTCTTTTAACCGCTGAATGCGTTTAAGCTCCTTGTAGACCTTTTCTTGCTCTTCTTGGTTCTTGGCGAGTTCGTACAGGAGAAAAGCTAAGGAAGTGGCTGTGGTCTCGAAACCGCCTGCTAGAAAGACGAAGCTGTTGGCCAGGAGATGCTTTTCTGTGATGAGTGGTCTGAAAGTGCCCTTTGCAGACTCTGGAGATTGGTTCCCTTGTTGCGCATCCAGAAGCAGCTGCAGCATGTCCTGCCCCTTGGGACTCTTCCCTGTCCTTCGGAGGTAGATAATTTGTCTGACGTTGTCTGTGAGCTTTTTAATTGTTTTCGAGTATTGCGATAACGAGAAAAGCCACTCTAACATTGGTCGAAGCAGAGGAAAACGCAGAGCATTCTTGATTACGTTGTCCTCGACATCTTCAAATATGTTTTGTATTAATCGAAGGAGGGGGTCGTTTGGATTTTTCTGGCAGTCCACCTGTTCATGAAATAATGCGATGCATATCGTTAATACACATTGATGAAACCAAAAACTGATTAAAAAATATGCCGTTTTTTCAGTAGAGCTTCGTTTGTAAACAAAAGCCATTCTTTGGTAAAGACTAGCTTTTCCACTTTACGTTTTTCTTTTTTAAATTGCCAGGCTTTTTCCATACTTCTTATATTTTCATAGGTTCGGTCAGATAATCTCTTCCTCCAGAAAAACAACAGCCACGGTTAATGATACCTATGGGTGGCCCAGTGTATGTCACAGTTTCTTTAATGCACAGGTCTGCTTGTATCTTAAGCAAAAATGCTTCTGAATAAGATATTTTTTTTTAATTGTCTGATGTCTGAAATCGCCTGGTGCGATCGTTGCATCTCAAAGTTTAGGTTGTCTTATTTCATTTTTAAAGTTCAAAGTGTCTTTTGCTGTTAGTTTCTTTTGACATTTCCTGTGTAACGCATCTTAATCCAGAGATGTAGTTACTGGGTAGCGTTAGAGCGAACCGGTTGGCGTTGGCGTTTTGAACAAACCAAGACTCTTCAACAAGCGTTTTTGCCAACGAAACCTCAGGAATTGAAATCATGGAGGTGGGGGGGGGGGGGCGGGGGGGCGTCTAGATTTTTAGGGAGGGGGAGGGGGGGAGGCATTGAGAATAGAAGAGTCGTTGCGAATCAGAAAAACAAGGGGGGGGGGTAGGGAAATCACTGTTTGCCAATTTCTTGCTTAGTCGAGGATGATGCTGTTTTTGAACGAAAGGGTGTGGTTCTTCTGCTCATCTTGCTCGGCTAGTGCGCTGTCCTGTATGTCCTCCTTTTTAACATCATAGTGATGCCTGCGTAGTAGTTCTGGGAAGTTAATGGTTTCCCCAGCGTACGAGGTGCGGCAGTCACCTCAAAGAATCCTGTAGATAAGTTAAGTCCTTATCGGCGCCCGTTTCCACGTTTAGAGGTGTCGGCGTCGCCGTAACCACCCTGTTAAATTTAGCGGGAAATTGAATTGGCGTTGAGGTCACGTGACGTCAATTTTCCCGCTAAATCTAGCGGAGAAACTAAATTTGTTTATGTGTTTCGTAACGCGCATTCATGTGATGTCGATTTCTCCGCCAAATTTAGCGGGGAAACGGAAATGGTGTTGAGGCCACGTGGCGTCAGTTTTCCAGCTAAATTTAGCGGGGAACTGTGGGACGAGGAGGGGAGGAGAAGGTGGAAATTGAATTGGTGTTGAGGTCACATGACGTCGATTTTCCCGCTAAATACAGAAGAGAAACTGAATTTGTTCATGGGTGACGTGACACGAAGTCATGTGACGTCATTTTCCCCGCTAAATTTAGCGGGGAAACTGAATTGGTGTTGAGGTCACGTGGCTTCAATTTTCCAGCTAACTTTAGCGGGGAAACCGTGAGACGAGTGGATGGTATGGAGGAGGAGGAGGAGGATGGTGGTACGTAGGAGGAGGAGGGTAGGGTACGGAGCAGGAGAAAGGGAAGGCACGGAGGAGGAGAAGGAGGGGAGGAGGGGAAAGAAGGGGAGGGGTAGGGGCAGAGAAGGAGAAGGAGGAGAGGAGGAAGGGGGCGGAGGAAAAGAGGAGGGGAGGGTACGGAGGAGGAGGGGTATACCCTACCCTCCGCACCCTCCCTCCTTCTCCTCAAGAGCTGTGCTCAAATATATATATATATATATATATATATATATATAATCTTTTTACTTTATTTGTTGGACAAGATTGTTGTGTTTTGTTGTCTTGTATATTCTGGTATTTTCTATTTACAAGCCTTTTTATGTGTTCATATTTTGCTCCTCCTGCCTGGGCCAGAGGCTTGCAGTAGTGTAAAATGAAAATAAATAAAGTGTGATGGCCCACCTGAAGAGTGCAGAGGCCACGAAAGACGTGTGTCAGAGGATGGTTTGATGCAAAGTTCAGGTATTGGCCGGCGTATGTCAGTTTTCTGTACATATCCCAAGTCCATCACTTGGACCTTCTCACAGTGTAAACGTCCAGGAATGGTACGCAGCGGTCTGACTCGAGCTCCGTTGTAAATGGAAGCGCCGGTTCAATGGAGTTCAAGTGTTTATGAAGACGATAACTTTCTCTAGTCTTTACCACGCAGTAGCATTTGTTTACATACCGCACGAGCAAAGCAGGTCTATCCCTCACAAAAACGGGTCTCAAAATTCTTTTTAATTTTTTTAGACTTCTTATTGACTTTCCGCGATCCTGCTGAATTCCTTTATAAACGCACTTTGTTTTGACTATTGTCAAAGAACTTTCAAAAGAAAAATATTGAATTTTTTTGTAGATTTATTTATAAAAAAATTAAAAAAGAACTTGTAAAGACGTTTTTCTGTAGGTTATTTTCTAAAAAAATTCAAAAGGAAAAACAATAGATTTTGTTTTTTAGACTTATTTATAAAAAAAATAAAAAGAACTTGTAACGACGTTTTTCGTAGGTTATTTTCTAAAAAATGAGAAGAAAACTTATTCACATTATTTCTTTATACTTATTTATAAAAAGAGACATCTTTTTATTATTTTATTTGGTGTGCGGTCGTGTGCGGGGTCCGATATGACGGATGTTTTTTTTTTTTTACTTTTTATTGAAATGTGTTGACTTCTTGTTCACTCTGATTACTTTATTTTGACTGACTTCCTGTTGACATGGTCAACATAATGTTTGCTGATTTTGTGTTGAAACTTTTTTAATGATTTTCTTCTGCCTGAGTCAAAAGAAAAGCTATTGACTTTCTATTAACTCTACGTTGGATCTTTTTCTGTTGACTTCCTGTTGAAAGTGTTATCAGAAATACTGCAGACGTTCTATTTACTTCGTGTTTAAATTATTCAGTTGACTTTCTGTAGCCAGTGTCAAAAGGAAAGCTACAGGCTTTCTGCTGACTTTTTATTTAACATTATACATCTTGACTAAATGTCAAAAGTCACTAAGTTTCTCAATAGTCTCTGACAAGTTGAGAACCGTAGGGAGGAGCTTCCGTTCTCCCGACTCCAGCGCGAGCCTTCTATCCTTGACAACTATTCGACGTCTTGCGCCCCTCGAGCTCGACTGCGCAGTCAAAGAACGACGGAAGGCATAGGGCGCGTGCAGGAGGCCAGGCGTTCGAAAAACACGCCCTGCCGTTTTCACTTTGTAAATGACTATCGTGGCATTATTGACCCTATTCAACTAGTAAAGAGGAGCAAAATAACTATTTTAAAGTGGAGCAACCGCCTTGACTGGCTTCGTCCCGAGTGGTGCTATGCAGAGAAGCGATAACATTTGTTCTATGAGCCGTTTTTGTGGATGTTGTTTTAGCGACTACACGAAATTATTATTAGTTGTACCAATGCTTTTTAGTAAGAGATAGAGTCCACGAACTTCGAAACACTGTCTTCCCTTTGACAGACTTTCGAGAAGGAGACCGGAGACTTGGAAACTTAGTAAGTGCTGAGGTGGTCACCGGCCAAATGATTACCTTCAATATGTAGGCTATATGAGGCTCTGGTGCTGTCCACAGGGCTGTGTTTCTGGTGTTGAGTGCTTGATGGTGTTTGTGTTTGTTTACATTACTTATTTGTGGGATGTGTATGTATCAAAAAGATACTATTTCTTAACGAAATTCAAAAAATATATTAATACAATTTAGTTATTTAAAAATATCTTAAAACAATTTAGAAGCTTGCCTTGTTGGTGTTAGACTGGTGGCAGCTGATAAACCCTTGACGAAAGTAAACCCTGGAGAAGGGGAACAAGAGGGACAAAGGACAAACATAAATCTCCAAACAGAGCTAAGTGACTTTGTTTGTCCTTTGTCCCTCTTGTTCCCCTTCTCCAGGGTTTACTTTCGTCATTCTTGTCCAGCTCGCTTGCACCTTTGCATTTAATTGCATTATAGATAAACCCTTGTTGGTGTTAGACTGGTGGCAGCTGATAAAACCCGTTTGCTCTACTGACGTCTAACCCCTGGTTAGCTCAGTTGGTAGAGCGCTCCACTTGTAATGGAGAGGTCCCGGGTTCGATACCCGAACCAGGCGGATTTTTTCGGTCGCTCACCAGTCACCTAGCTGTGTTTGGAGATTTATGTTTGTCCCTTGTCCCTCTTGTTCCCCTTCTCCAGGGATTATGTTCATGATTACTGTCCAGCTCGCTTGCCCCTTTGCATTTAATTGCATTATAATTATAACATTAAATTGCAAGCTTCACCCTTGTTGGTGTTAGACTGGTGGCAGCTGATAAAACCCGTTTGCTCTACTGACGTCTAACCCCTGGTTAGCTCAGTTGGTAGAGCGCTCCACTTGTAATCGAGAGGTCCCGGGTTGGATACCCGGACCAGGCGGATTTTTTCGGTCGCTTACCAGTCGCCTAGCTGTGTTTGGAGATTTATGTTTGTCCCTCGTCCCTCTTGTTCCCCTTCTCCAGGGATTATTTTCAACAATTTAGTGTTTTCTTAAACGTTAATCTGCGGTTCCGTCAAAAGGAATTCAACAAAATTTATGTAAGAAGGAATTCTAAAAAATTTAAGTGGCCAATTTTAACTAGGAGTTAAATAAGTTGTCAAAACAAAGTCTAAAAACATCAAAAAAGTTTAAAAAGAAATTCAATACGACTCCAGAAAATTTTCAACAAAAATTAAAAAAAATTTAACTACAGATTTTTGTAAGGGATGGCAGACCAGCGAGATGCCTTATGCCCAGAGCTAAGCGCTGCCGTTTTTGTTTTAGGCGACTCGGTAGAAGATTTCAAGGATGATTCCCCACGACCGCAGCCCTTCGGCTTGCGCAGCGGCGCCCAGCGCAGAAGGGACAGGCAACACAAGATCGGCCGCTGCCCAGTCATCGGCAGCTTTCGACACGTGGAAGTTCAGTGAGCCGCAGCAGGCCATTACGCAAGCGCCACTGCTATCTGCTGTGACACCGAAAGCCTGGTTTCGTCGCTTACAAAAGCGTCAAACGCAGAACAGTACGTCGCAGACAAGCGAGATGCCTTATGCCCGGAGTTT